AAAAAAAAAAAAAAAAGGGGACACTTGTCTTTACAGAGGAATGCCAGGTGATGTAGAAGGAATGCTGGAAATAGAAAATAGAACATTTTGCAACCCCTAATGTAATAACTCAATCAGGCAATGATCATCAATGGATGCTAAAACCACTGAAAGGGAGACTGCTAGGGACAACCAGGGTATTTCTAGTTACCACCTCACATATTAGTTACAAAGGAAAAATTAGACCTTTATTATAAAAGGATCTGTGGAACACCACTTTAATGAGATGATCAAAATAGTAAGACACCCTGACGTTAAATTATATGCTTCCTAAAGTGGTACAGTAAATACATCCATACCTTGGAGATATCGTGGGTTTGGTTCTACAACACCGCACTAATACAAATATTACAATAAAGTGAGTCGTGAATTTTTTTGGTTTCCCAGTGCATATGAAATGTTTATTCTGTTGTCTATTACGTGTGCAATACCATTACAAAAAAGTTTGAGATATTTTGAGAATTACCAAAATGTAACACAGAGACATGAAGTGAGCACATGCTGTTGGAAAAATGGCATTGATAGACTTGCTCAATGCAAGGTTGCAACAAACCTTTAACATGTAAAAAAAAAAAAACCACACAAACAGTATCTGAAAAGTGCAACAACACGAAATGCAATAAAACAAGTATGCCTGTACATAAAACTATCTATGTAGAAGTCTTACCAAAAACATTTCATCTGAATCTAACTGATAGAAAACAATCAAACAAATCCAGACTGTGGGGTACTTTATGAGAAAATCTAGACTCTTGAAAAACTTTAACGTCATGAAACAGGTGGGGGAGGATTAAGAAAAAGTCAAAAAAATTAAACAACTAAATCTAATGTTTTAACTGGGATTGGATCCTGAATGGGAGGGAAACAATAAGGATATTATCAACACAATTAGAAAAATTTGAATAATGACTAAATATTAGATATTATTGAATTATTGTTAATTTTCTTAGGTATGCTAATTATTATCCTGTTATTATGTCCTTATTCTTAGAATATGTATACTTAAGAGGTTAGGAGTAAAATGTCCTGATGCCTTCAGCTGACTTTCAAACAGTTCAACAAAAAAAATTAACAAGTTTTACATTTATAAAGAAAATGTGGCAAAATATTAACAATTGGTGAATTCTGAAGAACAATTACACTGATTATTCTTTCAACTTTTCTGTAGGCCTACAATTTTCAAACCAAAAAGGAAAAAAAAAATTAAATGTAAAATCTTCACTTGATTATCTACTAATTCTCTGAGAACAATAGACACATACAATCATACCTTGTCTGTCTCATTAATTATAGTGACCAAGGCATTTGACTGCTAACCAGAAGGCTGGCAGTTCAAACCCGCCAGCCACTCCACAGAAGGTAGACTGGGCAATCTGCTTCCATAGAGATACCACCTCAGAAACCCAAGGAGGGGTAGCTATGAGTCAGATACAACTCAATGGCAGTGAGTTTGGTTTTTTTTTTTTTTTTTAATTATCAAAACACTCTGAGGTTAGGGGTCTTCAAATATCACAAGAGGAACCAAAATAGGAAGACAGAATTAACATTTACTGAGTACCTACTAAATGCCATGTGCTGTACTACATCCTTCACATAATCTCTCGTTTTAGGGTCACAACTAGTCTAGTAAGCGTAGTTTTAGGGAAAGATTCAGTAAAGTTAGGTAGCATATCTAAAAGAAAGTGGTAGAGCGTAATAAGTGTTTTACACCAAGAGACTGATTTTTGTTACTGGCAAAATTACTGAGGAAAACCCATCCAAGTTCCTGGTACACTTTATGAGAACATGCACCTTTATTGTCTACTTCCTATCCTTGCCACTCATCAACATCACCAACCTCTGACAAACCTCTCCCATAGCACTTCCTGACTGCTATCCCTTACCTTTCAATTAGCTGTTTCCCCAAGACAATCTTGGTCCCTTCAACCTTGATGAGTTCTTCATTATCATTATGAATGACTGTCTTTTCCAACTCCTCCTCCTGCTCTTCTGTCATGGCAACAGGGTTGGAAGGTGGAGCATTTGTTTGATAATAAAGGGGACAGAATTTGTTTGTCCTCATGTGCCCAATGGCACCACATGCCCCACATTTCAACTGCAAAATGAAAAGTGTCAATATGTCAGAGTTAAGTGGGCTACATGTTAGCTTTAAAACATATATACAAGGCAGGAAACAAGGGCAATCTCAGAACTTCTGCTCTAATAGAACTGTTATGTACCCAATAATCAGAAGCAATATTAAAAACTAAATGAAATCCAGAGGTTGAATACTTTGTTACAAATAAAGCAAGGAAGAAAAGGAAGAAGATAATTTCTACCCCCAATTTAAGCTATGAACTATGAAAATATTCAATAGGTGGGTGAAAGACTACTGAATCTCACGTCTGTATTCAACAGCACAGTCAGCCAGCATGGGTGTATTCCTAGCCCCAGTAAAACAAGGAAAAGGCTAAATGATATCAAGTCTCCATCTCAGTTTTGCAACTGAGTGGCTGTGGTATCTTAGATCTTAGTTTCATCTACACAACAGGGTCAATACTGTATCATACTTATCTAATAATACATACAAGAACAAAAAAGAAAAAAAACCCTATTGCTATCAAGTGGAATTCCAACTCATAGTGTCTCTCTAGGACAGAGTATAACTGCCCCATAGGTTTTCCAAGGCTGTGAATCTTTATGGAAGCAGACTGCTTCATCTTTTTCCCATGGAGGGACTGGTGGGTTTAAACTGCTGAGCTTCCGATTAGCAGCCAAGCATATAGCCACTGTACCACCAGGGCTCCTATATGTAACAAAGCAATACTAAAATACTTAATGACTTCAGTATCTATAAATAACACTTAACATTTGTTGAATACTTTCCCATGTATGTCATTTAATACAATACCACTGTGAGACAAGGACCATTTTATAGAAGAGAAAACAGAACTGGAGGGATTAACATTACAGAGCTATTAAGTGGGAGAAGCAGATGAATCCAGATCTTCTATCTCCAAGTCCATCGCTCTCCCACTGTAACACAGTTGCCTCATGTTGTAGTATACATTACTGTCACATTACACAATAACATATGTAATCCATAAGTTATGTAAAGCAATGTTATGTTGCTTTGTTGTTGTTAATTGTACAATTTTAAAACACTAGGTATATATTTATAAAAATATGACTGCACATGTGTTTTTTAAAAAAATCACCAAACCTATCTCAACTCCTAGAAAACATCTCAAATGGATAAAGTGTGAAATGACATCCAATGAGAAGGGCACCTGACTAGGCCTGGTGCTATCAGAAGCTTTCACACCAGTACTGTTAATACTCAAGTAGCCACATCAGTTCAAATCAGCTTTCTATACAATGCCTTCATTCCCAGTAAGGGAAGACGTCAAAAGCTAATGAAAAAGGTATGCTTTCTTCCCTTACTTCGTTTAGTTGTGTTCACAACACAGTTCACTTACCTTTAGATCAGGACGTTCTTTCATTTTTTTGGGCTTCTTCTCAGGAGGACCCTTGAGCTTCTCCTTTTCCTGGTTCCGCTTAAGCCGTCTCAATTGTTCTTGTATCCTCCGTCGTTCTTTTCGCATCTCTTCTCGATGCTGTTCATCAAAAAGGGCAAATTTTCGACTGAATAACAGGAAATGGGGGGGGGAAAATCACAGGACTATAAGCAAACCCAAACCAAGAAGACTGTCCCTACAGCTAACATCTCAGAGCTAAAGTAATTCATGCAGACTGAAATTAAAGCAGCTGCCTACCATTCCCATCTCCCCTAATTCATCATCTTCTATTTGCAAAGAGAGAGGGATCTCTCTAAGAAAGACAACTCCTGAATAATCCCTAAGGTTTCTGTAAGTCAACCAAAA